CACTATGCTACCAGAGCTCCCTTTCTAGCCATAAGTCTTTATAAACTCCATGGTGGAATTTGCTGTGAGAAACTGAGTACCTCCTAATTGTTAAAATCATCCACCTGGGGTATTTCTGTTGGGAGCAGCACAAAGTAATGTTCTGGGAGGTTCCTGTTCTCTCTCAGGTGCTTAGAATTCTGATGTTATGATTGGTTGGTTTGGCCACTCTGCCAGGCTCAAAAGGAGCCCTTCTAGAGCCAGAAGGAATCTCTAACTGCTGGCTGAGAGATGCGAGAGACATGCATTGCTGAGAGGGAGATGTGAGAGACACATGCTGCTTAGAGACATGCACTGCTGGGAGAGAGACTGAGAGAGACTGTCAGCTGAAAGAGACTGAGTGTGTTCCTGAATTTGAATTAAAGCCTGTTGCTTCCCTAATAAACCCCATAATCTGTGAGTTCTGTGTGGCCACTGCAGTGAATTATCAAACCCAGAAAAGAGGTGATGGGTGCTGTGGGAGGAATAGTTGGTGTCAGAGTTGGTGAAAGGGCTGAAGGGAGGCGACATGTCTGGCCTCACAGGAATAGGCCTTGGGCTACTGATGTTGATTCTGTCTTCCTCTTGTGGGGTTAGAGGAGGTCAGAAGATGCAGCCTCCTTGCCCCCTTGGCACATAGTCTACAAGGCACCTTCACTGGGCACAAGAAGCAGCACCCTCCCCCACCCCCAGTCCCTTGTTACTCTCTACAGTTTGTGTGGCAAATTAAATAAAAACAAGAGGCATGGAACAATTGTAGTTAGTCAAAGTGTTCCCTTGTCTATCATCCATCATCTGCTCTCATAACAAATTACATTTAAATTATTCCTTTAAACATCTCTCTCTCTCTCTCTATATATATATATACATAGTATATGATTCCCAGTATATAACACTCTGGGAAAGGCAAAACTATGCCGCTGTTGAGTTGATTCCAGCTCATAGCAACTCTATGTGACAGAGTAGAACTGCCTCATAGGGTTTTTTAGGCTGTAATCTTTACCGGGGTGGATAGCCAGGTCTTTTCCCCCACAGAGCCACTAAACTAAAAAAAAAAAAAAAACTCATTGCCATTGAGTTGGACCAGACTCATAGTGACCTCTCCTTGGGTTTTCGAGGCAGTATCACTATGGAAGTAGATAGCCCAATCCTCCTTCCAAGGAGTGGTTGGTGGGTTTGAACCACCAGCCTTCAGGTTAGCAGTCAGAGCCACTGGGTGGGTTCAAACTACCAACCTTTCTGTTAAAAGCTGAGCACTTAACCATTGTACCACCAGGGCTCCTTGGGGACAGTAAACAGATCAGTGGTTGCCAGAGATTCAAGTGGAAGGAAGAGAAATAAACAGATAGAGCACAGGGCATTTTAATGGTAGTGAAACCATTCTGTGTGACCCTGTAATGGTGGACACATGACATATGTTTGTCAAAACCCATGCAAGTATACACCACAGAGTGAACTCTAACTTCAACTATGGACTTCAGTTAATAGTAATGGTTCACCACTGTAACAAATGTACCAGTGAAAGATGTTAATAACAGGAGAAACTGTTCATGTGGGTAGTATATGAGAACTCTATACTTTCTGCTAATTTTTTCTGTAAACCTAATATTGCTTTAAAAAATAATGGCTATTACTGCAGGAGCTCTGGTGGCATAATAGTTAAAGCACTGGGCTGCTAACCAAAAGGTCGGCAGTCCAAACCCACCAGCCACTCTGTGGGAGAAAGATGAGGCAGCCTGCGTCCATAAAGATTTACAACCTCGGAAACCCTATCGTGCAGTTCTACTCTGTCTTAAAGGGTCACTAAGAGTCAGAATTGACTCGGTGGCAGTGTGTTTTTGGTTTTACACATACACACATATGCCCATGCATATACCTACACACACATATGTGGTTTTATTTCCTTCCTTCTTTTGCATCGTTTGAGTTGTTTCATCTTTCAAGACCTTTGTTGTTTCTTCGAGAACCAATATTTTTATTTACATTCTGTCACAATTCTTAACAACAGGAGCTTACCTCAAAATTAAATTTTCTTTTTTCTAATTCATTCATTCATCTTTATTTATCACTGCACTGGAACACAGTCTTTCAAAGTTATTGTATATGATTTTAAAGGTTTAATATTAGCCACTTAAAAATTCCTTAAGCCTATTTAATTTTCAGTTGCTAAGAATGCTCATAGTTAGGGATGAATAAATTGTCTTACTTGTCAAAAACTTACAGAGCCCCTCTAAACCCATGATAAACAAATGTCAAGAAAACTAAATCAGAAAAATATGTCCAACTTTCCTTTTCTTAAAATGAATTTTCCTGTGTCCTTTGAAGTATGATTTGTTTCCTCTACTTACTCTACAAAGAGCTCAGTAGATGAGTCTCAAATTTGTTTGGGATGAATTGGAGGTCCAAGCAGCACCCCAGACTTACTTGAGTGGTGGATGAACATTAAATATGATTTGAAATCGAGGTGGAGCCCAGTCTTCAGTCCCTCTGATCCGAGACTTGAATTTAATTTCCTGTACTATATCCATACCTGATTCAAACTGTTTGCGATGATGCTCTTCATTTACAACCTGTAAATAAAAAATTTAGGAACAACTTAAAGCATATTTCAGGAATTTAAATAAAAAGAACATTCTCGTGTGTTTGCAAGATTAAAATTTACTATGAAAAAATTAAAACTTCTTTTCACTTTACTGAGGCTATGTGACTAAGGCAGTCTATAGGAGAACTATTGAAATACTACCCAGCTGAGACGCCTTTTCTTAGTATTTTTAGTTTGCTCATTTGTTTCCAGATTTCAAACTTACTTTAAGAAGGTCATTTTGAACTGCAATACTTTTAAAATAGCAAAACCCTATTTATCTTATTCAAAGGCAGATCCTGCCAATCCTACTTCCACCATAGTTCAAGCCATGCCAATGTCTCCTAATTGGTTTCCTAGTCTTCCATCAGAGCAGCCTGGTGCTGTCAGTCTTCTCCAAAAACAGTTCTATTAAAACCACTCTTTTGCTCATAATCACTACCCATCTGTCAGTTTGTCCTACTGCTGTGGCTTGCATGTTCCTATGATGCCGGAAGCTATGCCCCTGATATTTCAAATACCAGCAGGGTCACCCATGGTGGGCAGGTTTTCAGCTTCCATACTGATAGAGACTAGGAAGGAAAGCCTGATGATCTACTTCCAGATAGTAGCCAATGAAAATCCTATAGATCACAACAGGTTACTGTCTGATCTACTGCTGGAAAATGAGCCCTCTCAGGTGAAAGGCACTAAACAATAGTTAAAACAGTAGACTGAAATATGCAAGTGATGATGAAGAAGGCACAGGACTGAGAAAAGTTTCATTCCACCATCAGCAAGGTCGCCAGAGTCAGAGCTGACTTGCCAGGAGCTAACAACAACCTGCTCATAAACATCACTGGCTCCCCACTGAAACTTGTATCTTCTCATTGGCATTTAAAAGCTGAACTTCTCAAATTAATATTCTACGTCCTCCACAATTTGGCCACTACCTTTCATACCTTATTTCCTATGAAGATCAATGCCCCTTGGTTCCCTCCAGACACCCACAAACAGGTTATTCAACCACTTCTAATTTCTTTGCTCGGTAAACACACCAGGCACCTCCATACCTCTGGGCTTTTGCCCCAGCTGTTCCCTTTGCCAAGAATGCCCTTCATCACATCTCCACCTGCCTTGGTTCTGCCCATCTGCCCTAATGCTTAGCTTGAATTCTGTGATCTCCAATCAGCCTTCCAAGTTCTTCTAATGAAAGTAAATATTGCTTCCCTGCACTTCCAGAGACCCTCATCTTGGCTTCAGTCACTATGTTCTCTGACCCCAGTAGACTGCATGCTCTCAGAGGACAGTGTGTCCTACACGGGACCTACCTTGTGCTTCAAATTAGACAGCCTGTAGACAGATTCCTGCTTTACCACTACCTGCTCTGTCTCTGGTGTCTAGTGCCTAAGGCATTTGACTGCCAACCAGAAAGTTGGCGGTTCAAACCCACCAGCCACTTCACAGAAGGAAGACTCGGCAATGTACTTCCATAGTGATACCACCTCAGAAACCCAAAGGGGGTTACTATGAGTCGTAATTGACTCCATGGCAGTGAGTTTTGTTTTTTTTGGCTCTGTCACCTGAGGGCCTGGGCCTATCACTTTAAAATATAAATGACAATAGAACCTACCTAACTGGGTATTCAGTCCCTGTGTGGTGCAGAGTTGGTGGTTCTAATCTACTTAAAGGCACCTCAGAAGAAAGGCCTGACAATCTACTTCCAAAAGATCACAGCCATTGAAAACCCTATAAAGCACAATTTTACTCTAACACACATGCAGTCACCAAGAGTCAGAGTCCACTCAACAACCAGCACAACAGGGTATTTAGATTAAAACAGTAAGTGCTGAGCATAGGCCCTGCTGCATAATAACCACTCAGTAAATGTCAGTTTCCTTATTCATTTTGAGTCTCCCCAATGCCCAGCAACCATACAAGTAACTACATAAGTGCTTGAAGTAAGCAGCAGACAAACTGAGAATTTAGGAACTTTCAATTCTTTTTTGTTTTCAATTGTGGCAAAATACATAAAACATAAAATTTGTCATTTTACCCATTGTCAAGTGTATAATCAGTGGCATTAATCATACTTAAAGAGCTGTATACAACAACAACAAAGAGCTGTATAACCATCACCACTGTTTCCAAACTTTTTCATCACCTCAAACAGAAGTTTTATACTTATTAAGCAATAAATCCCCATTTCCCCTCCCTCCCAGCCCATTTAACCACAAATCTACTTTCTGTCTCTATGTGCTTGTGTATTCTAGCTTTTTCATGTAGATCATATAGTATTTGCCTTTTTGCATATGTCTTATTTTACTTAGCATAATGTTTTCAAGTTTCATCCATGTCATAGCATGTATCATTTTTCTTTATGGTCGAAGAAGATCCCACTTGTGTTGGATTGGGTTCTCTAGAGAAACACAAAAACCAGCAAAGTACATATATATATATATAT